GAGATATAGCACTTTTTGGTAAGCTAATGAGATTGTGCCACTTTCATTGTTTTATATTTATATATATATATTTATTATTTTTAAATATTTTACTGAAATTTTACGAAAATTAAAGAAACTTCATCAAAATTTTATGAGACTAAGGCATTTTTTATCCGTTTTCCGATGCAATTATAGCAAAAGTAAAAGTTTAAATTAATCATGACTTTTAAAAAAGTTTTAAAGTCTGATTTAATTTACAAATTAAATTGGTAACTGAATTAAATTATTTAAATTAATTTATGCATATAAGTAACAATAATTACTTATGGTGGATTCAAATCCAAGCCGAACTAAACAAAAACGCCCAGACGCTTGATAACTCGTTCTTATTGGTCGATTCGGAATCTGTTGTAAATTATTATTAAAGGTCCCAGGGGAGGCCGCATGTGAAATTTATGCGAAATTTTCAGTAAATTGCGAAACTTTCAATGAAATTTCTGAAAGTTTCACAGGCAATGTTGAAAGTTTCAGGTTGAAAATTTCATTTGAAATTTTTAAAAATTTCACTTTTCCAACTAAATGAAATATTTTAAGTTTGAAACTTTCAAAGTTGAAATTTCATTTGAAAATTTCAACCGTCCCAACCCTAATTATAGTCTATTTTTCTAAAATATATTGGAAAAAATTCTAATAAATTACCCTGTATATAAAATAACACTATAACAAATATTTTTCTAGATTACCATAAAAATGATGAACGTGTAAAAGCCCACATGCAGAAAACATTTATATGTACGCTTAAATATATCAAAACGGTCGAGACAGATAAATGTGTTTCATCGTTAAAAAACGTTAAACGACGCGAAAGAGGGCTGAGAATGAAACGTTTTTAACGTTCGCGAGATTAGACTTCACAACTGAGAGATTTTTTCCACCTCGATTTGGCTCTGCTGTGCATGTTATTTTGACGCGATAGAATAGTCATTCCGCCTACCTTACCAAGATTTATATGAATGCGAGATTTATTCGTCGAATAACGAAATGAACAAAAAATTTAAGATGTATGGCTGAATGAGGAATTCAAATTCTTTTGTTAAATGTACTGCTCGGAACGATTTTATGATTTATTATTTTTTCAGGGTTTTTATCTCTATTTTTGTATTTTATCCCATTTACCTCAATTTTTGTATTATTAGTTGTATTCGACCATTAAATATATTTGGACGCCTTTCTGCAGAAAGGAACCAACCCACAAAACCAAAAAAATCGAGATATTTAGCCTATGAACTAATTAAGTGTGTATAATTTATCTGCAAAATAGGTCATAGCCAAAATGCAAGTGTAGTGAAATCTATTAATCATTGAACCAACCAACATTCAATAATAGTGTGGATTACTAATCCAGAATTAGAATCTGTAGAATATCTGCAAGTGGGTTGGATCTTTTTTGTAAAAAAGCAGGCTGGTAGACCCACTACCAAAGTCTTTAAAGATTTCCTGCTTCTGCAAAATATAAAGTCTTGATGCATTTTTTTGGTAGCTTACAAGATGAGGTGGGGTTGGAAGATGATGTGGACGAATTTCAAATAGAATCAAAATTAATTCATATTACCATTATAATAGTAATATCAGTTGTATTTTGTTTGGAAATAAATAATTGTCGCTTTTCTTTAAATACATACATACATCAGATAGTAGTTTTTATAAATTGCAGAAAGGAACCAACCAACAAAAGCCCATTTTTTTCGTCACCCTTACACATAACATCACAAAATCCACCTGATGAAATTATTAAATTATATCCCTTAAACCTCCGTAAGTCCAAAATCGGCATAAAATTAACAGGTAATTTTAAAATTATTAAAATCTTTGATAGCTTTTTTCTCAGTTTGATCATGGTGTGGGTTGGTCCCATTCTGCAGAAAGCCGTCCATTTTAACTTGCAAAATAATTTTGTAAGCGATTAATAAAATAATATTATTTAACTTAAATTTAAAATTGTAATGGCTATAAAAAAATGTACCACCTAAGGTACCTTTTATATTAAATTTTCAGTGTCTTATTAGGAAAACCTACGATTTGTTAAAGTAATGAGATTATTTTTATTTACAGAATAAACTTTTTTTACTGTTTATAAAATTCTCATTTACTATAATGAAGCAGCAATGTTGAGCTTTTATAAAAAAAATGTCCATCCAACACCATCATATTGTCATGGCAATAAGAAATACTTTATGTTTATATTAAATCTTTGTCGAAGTTAAAATGTTTTTGTTAAATCTATAGTTGTGTGTGAATTGCGCTTACATAAAGAAATGCGCAAGTTATAGTAAAATATTTTACTATGGCATATTTGTCTTTTTTAAATTACTATCGTTGTAATTCAAATTAATTTTATTTGAGTTAGAAAATCTTTGTTAATAGCTTACGTTAAGAACAATAACAAAAATATTTTATTGCTATAAAAAGACTTTTGTTTTGCAATGGTAACAAGTTTTTTTTATTTCCCTTAAAAGGAGGGGGAAAGGGCCAGCGCTCTCCTTGGTGAACATAACTTTATATTCCACAGTCTGTGTTATAATCTTATTGATTTTACTTGTGCGAGTGAAGTGTGGTAAAATCTTGCATGATTAAAATATCAAAAAGATCACTAAGAAAATTAAGGTCTATTCTATAAACTTGTTGTTTAAAAAGTGAGTTAATTTTTTTTTATTTTGTACATCATATAATATGAGTTAATTTTTTTGTTATAATAAATAAAATTTGTTTTAATGCCTTGCAATTATTAAAAAAAAACTACCCAACACCCAACAGTAGGTTGAAAATGTGACCATTGATACAATGAAAATAGTTTATTGAATTAACAATTAATTTGTTGTTAAATTTACATAAATTTTATTAATATTATAAAAAAGTTTTGTTTTAAACGAAAAGGGATTTGTAAAATTTACAAAATTTCTATGAATATTACCATTAGGGTTTCATTAATACTACAAAACGTTTTTGTAAACGGTACAGAACTGTTTTTTTGGACAAATTATAATAACTATATTTATCAATGCCTTTCTGCATCTGGAAAAGTGTTATTTTTATAAACATAACGTAAATTTACTTTATAATAAATGCAAATGCCATTACTAGTAATCAACTATTTAGAAAGAAAAATTGAAATCTCAACATTTTTATTTACACCCTGTATATGTAATAGGTAATCAACTGTCTACTTTTTTCTTTACCCTTATTCATTCCATTTGCGTTTCAACTATTAATTTGAAATTATAATTGGAAAGTACTGAGACACTGCTAGCGACTAATTGGTCATGTGGAACTTTAACACCGCTAAATCGGATTACTGTACCGAGTTCTTTTGATTTACGTTTATATCATGCTAAAGTAGGGAATAACGAACGGCAATTTTATGCTAAATACGAGATTTATGTGTCTGTGTTGTTTGTTTTAGTTTTCAATAAGTAATTGCACTAATCAATATGCAGATTATATATATTTATATATGGGTGAATATATTGAGTTGTCCCCCAAGTGAAAATAATTATTTTTTATTTTTGGTTGTTCACTGTTAGTCTAGAATGGGGTTTTTGAGAAGCCACCAGGTCTAGTAATAACATAACATAAGTGGTTCTGCACTAATGCAAGAATTTTAAGAAATCATACATTTTGAATAGTAGAGCTTCACGGAAGATAGTTTCACGGAGGTTAGAATTTCGTATGTTTTTTTTAAACATCCCTTTGTATATTTCAAATAAGTAATTGTATCTTTTGACACCTTAATATTTTTTAAAAATACAATTGTACATACATAAAATATTCATAAAAAAAATTTACTTACTAAGATATTAAACTTCACGATTTTAAATAGCAAATTAATGAACTTATACTTTTGGATTATAAAACAGCAACACTCTCATCTGCATATAAATTCTAACTGAGGTTTTTGCTTATTTAAAATGATTAAAGCGCCATCCGTTGCATAACATTTAAAGCAAAAATAGATTCACGGAGGATAGAATCAATTTTTGCAACACCTACATAAATGGTTATAAAAATTATTTCTTTTAATTTTTATTAATATTTTATATTTGATTCGATTGCTTTGGATGTGTTTAATTTACTTAGTGAACTGATATTTTTAGTATGTTTTTACTACCTCAGATATTTTAAAACATTGTAAAAAATAATTAATAGCGGTTAAAAATCTTGAACCTGAGCTGTAATATCTACATAACTATTTTTATATTAAATTAATAAATTAAGTAATATTTCTTAAATTGTACCCCAAATTCTAGGTTAGAACTGTCTTTTAATTATCAATTAATTGTGTGCAAGGTTATGGTCCTAAAGTGTAACTATGGTATTTCCCTATCGGGCCATTAAATTTTAATCAGACGGAAATGTAATAAATATCTCTCGCGTCGTAACCACAATATTGCGCTTAATCTGTAACACGATCTTTCGATAATAAAATCGTCATATAAAAATTCTGATATACGACTTTGCCTGAATAACAACCCATTCGTAAAAGTCATAACGTCGTTTGGTTAACTAGAAAAAATCTAATTTATTAGAGAATGTACAAGAGATGCAAATTATGGGGTATTAAATTTATTAATGTATTATAATTTTTTGCTGATATAATTATAGAAAAAAAATAATTTTATCTACTTCTACAGTGACGAGCTGTGACTTTATGGCATTTTAGTCACAGGCTGAGGTTAAATTCGTCAGATGTCAAATATTTATAAATTAAAATTGGCTTTAAATTCTTATTTTTGTTCTTCGTAGAAAAAGTATAGTATGCAACTCGTTTTATAAACTTATAAACTCTAGACACTCGTTTTTATTAAACACTCGCTCGCAAGGTTCGCTCGTGCCTAATAAAACTCCTAACTAAAGTGGCGTTTATAAAACTTGATACATAATATTTATTCAGATAAAAAATGATGGCTTAGGTATCAAATCAGTGTTTGCAGAACAATAAGATTGTTATTTATTTTTTGCAGGATCAATTTGCGGCGGAGAATGCTGCGACGACAGGACCGAAAGCCTGCTGGCCCGTCGGGGTCAGCAGGACTTTGCGGATATGCTCAGGCACAACTCGAGGTCTTTGCAAGGATTGCTCAGCTCGACTTCAGACATCGTTCAAAGTAAGTGAAAAAAAAACATCATTTTTCTAAAAAAAAAAAAACAGTTCAACTGCAATTAGGGTTGAAACAGTTAAAATTTTCAAATGAAAATTTCAACTTTGAAAGTTTCAAACTCGAAATATTTCATTTAGTTGGAAAAGTGAAATTTTTAAAAATTTCAAATGAAATTTTTAATTCGAAAATTTCAACATTGCCTGTGAAACTTTCAGAAATTTCATTGAAAGTTTCGCAATTTACTGAAAATTTCGCATAAATTTCACATGCGGCCTCCCCTGGGACCTTTAATAATAATTTACAACAGATTCCGAATCGACCAATAAGAACGAGTTATCAAGCGTCTGGGCGTTTTTGTTTAGTTCGGCTTGGATTTCATAATCATAATCATAATCATCTTTATTCGTGTTAAGTACAAAAAGTTTACACAAGTCGAAATACAAGTTACAAAATAGATACACAAATTACATTTAAAATTTCAACATTAAAATTAATAATTTATTATAAAATGGATATACCTAGTACAAGCATAGAAAGACTAATTACTACATATTTTGACAATCACAGCTTAAAAAGTCATCTAAACTATAAAAAGAATTGTTTATTAAAAATATTTTTATTGAAGTTTCAAATTTTTTTCTTGTTAACATTCTTATTTTTAAAGGAATTTTATTATAGAAGATTGGCCCAAAATAATTTGAACCATTTCTGCTGGCGCAAATTCTCGAAAATTCAGTTCTTATGTTTTCAGAGTGCCTAGTTTTATAATCGTGAATATTCTTTACCGTCTTATAGGAGTTCATGTTGTCATAAACGTGCAACAAACTATAAGTTATTATTGTTACTTATATGCATAAATTAATTTAAATAATTTAATTCAGTTACCAATTTAATTTGTAAAATAAATCAGACTTAAAATTTTTTTAAAAGTCATGATTAATTTAACAGCCATTTCATGATGACGGACGCTACCATTTGACCAAAATCTTGTCAAATATTTAAAAAAAATGCCCAAAAACTAAAACTGATTTTAAAGCTAATATCAAAAATTGAAAGTGGAGATGAGGTAAAAAAAAATAACTTATAAAATAATTATCTGACATTTAGGGATTCCAAGATTTTACTTTTTAAACTTAGATGACGGACGCTCAGTGCTGCCAGATGAACGGATTTATCCGTTTTTTACGGATTTTCCAGGTCTAGAGAAATTGGAAACGGATTTTGAACGGATTTTCATCAAATACGGATTTTTACGGATTTTTAAGATAGCTTCATACTAATACTAAAAAAACATCATTTTTGCCCCGTTTTTTGATCATCTTTGTCACGCTTCTATTCCTCTTCGTTTTTACTACGTTAGACAGAAAAAGAAAGCGGATTGAAAAAGGATGTGTTCTTAATATAGGGTTCTTAAACGCCGAATATATGCGAAACATATGCTTTTTCATTGATTGTGACAAAGAGAACGATAGTTTCATATCATTTGTTAAGGTTTTATAACACGTTGTTATTGCTGCCAATAATAAGCGGCGCAATGCCACCAATAGTAACGACTAACCAATACTGACTCCAGTTCAGTGCATTGAACTGCATTGTGGCAATATTTTGATCTCAAAGTCAATGTTTATTATATATCCGAATCTGTAAGTATATAAAATACTTTATTTTGTGAAAAATGGAAAGTGACGAGAATTATATCACTGACGAAGAGGTTCAAACTTCTGAAACTCCCCCGAAAAATTCTGAGATGTTTCGGATTTTCTTTGACGAAAGGTATGTTTTGTCACGAAAATCCCCCTTATAGAAGAAATTTTTCGAAATTTAGACAAAAACGGATTTTTACGGATTTTCGAGGCTTCCCCCCACCCTTTCCACGAATATATACGGATTATCCGACCATCTGCTCTGGCAGCACTGCGGACGCTACAAAAAATGGAAGTGGAATAAATTTATTTTATGTTTCACCTGAATATTAGCAAATTGATAAGGGATTAAATTTAAACTTTATTATAATATATTAAGCATGGGGCTAGATAAATATTTTTTATTTTTATTTTGTATTTAGTTTAATAGATAATATATAAGTACATGAAATATGTGATGATGGACGCTACATGACGGACGCTACACAAGTTCCACCAAAATGCTAATCTTTTATTTTTCAATTTAATTCAAATAAACAACCAAAAACTTCACTAAACAAATAAACTCTACATTTAACAATAAAATATGCCACTACTTAAATACAACACACGATTCGTAACTGGAATTTCTTGTTTGAGCGGTTTGCAACGAATTAGAGCTTAATTTCATAAAAAAGTGTTTTGATTGGATAAAAGGAATCTTCTTAACATCAGCCCACCTTTTATCCAGCATCTCTTTTATATTTTCAACATCCTCAGCACAAACATATATTAAGTTGATAGTAGATAATTGCCCTTTGGCACATTCAAAGAAGTCATGGGCATTTAACAGCTCAATATTTTTACTTCTTACCTCTCGCCAAACCGTCCTTTTTACCACGCCTCCCAGTGCATCTACAGCACCCTTTCCGTGACTACTGGCAAAAAAGTCCCATTCAACACTAGGCAGGTTGAACTCTACATCATAGTAACACAAATTTGAAAGAGTATATTTATTTTTAAATTGGGCAGCGCAGCCGTCTGAAAAGATCACTGTTTTGCATAAATGTTGTAATAGATGGGGATAGTTCAAATGAATTTTCTTAAAAATTTCTTGAAGAAATACATAAACTGCGTACTTGTCATGTCCCATGTAGTCGCTTATAATGGCAATAGAAAAGGTCTGCTGTGGTGTCCAGACAACACAAGTAAATATTGTTACTTGTTTGTGAGACCATGGTCTCACTGCAGTGTGCCGATTGAATTTCATTTTGAGACACTAGCGAGTAGTTCTCAGCAAAGTCAATTTGCACTACAAGAACTTTATCTTTGGCAAGATGAACCTTTTGTTCATCAAAATACCGTTCTTGCACCCTTTTAACAAAACAGTGTGTTTTAAACACTTTAAGTTGGCTTTCTAGCGTTTTGATCACTGAAAAAAGCGTAGCTTCTGTAACTTGGACCTCATTATCTTTCCACTGCTTGTACTTAACAAGTATGTCGTCCAAATCAAACATATATTTAACTGGAATCAAAGCATGTGAAATGTCATAATCGCAATTCTCACAAGTTTTTGTCATACACTGTTCTTCATCTATATTGCAACACATTTGTTTCAGGAAATCAGTACTGCTTTTCGGAAACTTCAAAATATTATTTTGTATTGCCTCAATTAAAAAATTAAAATTCGCGTGATAGCGACATACACACACGTTATGCGGCATTTGTAATGATAACAGAACGTGCTTGGGGCGCAACTGGTAAAATTTAGTAATCTGAATATTTGTATCTGGGAATTCTTGCTTAAATAGTGCAAATGCCTCCTTAATCGTCATTATAAGATGTCTTTTTTGTAAAGATTCTCTCTTACCAGTAATTGGATTTTTGACACTTTTTGTGTCTCTCTTTCCTGGGGCCTGTCTGCTAACTCATCACGTAGGTAAAAAATATTGACAAGTCTAACATCTTCAGTAGATGTAGTAAGTCCATGAATTATTGTGGGCTTCTCGTCACGCAACTTTTCAGGGATAGTTTGTAAAGCTAACTTCTGCACTACAATTTTTCTTTTACTAGGACTTCCTGGTAACATATTTTTAACTTTTTTTAAAGCTTTACCCAACGTTTGAGGACATCTGTAAGGACTATAAGATTGCTCAATATTTTGTCTCATTTGTTTAATCTTTGATCTGTAACGCCTCATTCTTTCAGTAACTTTTAATTTCTCAATTTTTCTTAAATGACTATCAAACTGCAACTTTTCTTTTTTCTTTACTCTTTCAACTTTTTTTCTTTCGGCATCTTTTTTTAAAAGTGCAATTCTTGTAATTTCGATACTTTTAATTTTTTCTCGATAACGTTGCGCGGCAATTCTGTTTTGTTTAATGCGCTTCTCCTTTTGATCTGTAAAAAATATTCCACCGGTATAAAAATCTCTCGAAAAATCTTTAAACAAGGTTAGAATGAGCATTTGTGTGTTTTTAATTTAACCGTAAAACAAGATAAATGAAAAATCTAAAAAAATATTACTTAAACTTTTTTTGCTTACGGACGCTACATAAAAGTTTAATTTAAAAAAAAATAGATTCTTGACATATCTAAAAAAGCTTAATATACTGACAAGAGGCAAAATGTGTGTTTTTAAAAATAAATAATTTAGTCAAAAATTATTTATATTCATTAAGAAATATTAAGTATTACATCTTTTTGATGACGGACGCTACACTAACAACATAAAATAAATAAAGTTAATAAAAAAATACTACTTACCCATTTTGATTTACAAAATCGTCACCAAACACTCTGATAAATAATATTTTAATGAAATAAAATAATGACAGTTGTATAATAAATGACATAATCACTGAAAAATAGCCTACTAAATAACTTATGTTTTGATTAATTTTGTTAGGATGCGTTCGCATTAAGTAAAATATTGTTTTAAGGGCCTAATAATGAAAAATATATTATTTTTATATTAGGTATGTAAAATTTAGACTACGTACACAATATTTCATATTAAAGGTATTGCATATAAACAATTTTAAATTGTGCTCCTTAGTTTCAAATTCTCTGGAATGGCTGTTTAAACTTTTACTTTTGCTACAATTGCATCGGAAAACGGATAAAAAATGCGTTTGGCTCATAAAATTTTGATGAAGTTTCTTCAATTTTTGTAATATTTCAGTAAAATATATAAAAATAATAAATATATATATAAATATAAAACAATGAAAATGGCACAATCTCATTAACTTACCAAAAAGTGCTATATCTCTCTTAGTTTTAGTAATTTTAAAAATATTTTAAAAGGAAATCTCAAGAAATTTGTGGTAAACATAGGTATTTACTATTTATATTATTGGTGCAGGGGCCCACAGAGGGGTA